AGCCCGTCTATCCACTTGGAGGCTACCTGCCTCCTGGGGACCCAGAATATGCTCAGCCTTTCCTTCAACACACACGAGTGGTCCCTCAGAGCATCTTCCACAGTTAGGGGTTTCCCCGCCTAGATTTATTCACAACAGGAAGTGCCAACAGTTTTGCTCCTTCCTCAAACTCAGCCCAGGCTCAATAGAAGATGCGGATCTGGTGTCATGGGCTTCCCACCTTCTCTATTCATTTTCACCCATCCCTCTAATTCAAGAGGTCCTCCTCAGGGTATGACAACACAGGGTCTCTCCAATGCTGATAACACCAGCCTGTTCCCACTAGCTCCAGTTCACTACTCTGCCAAAACTCTTCTCACACACACACCCAGAGCTCTTCTCCTGTTCCCGGATCTCCTCACTCAGGCTCAGAGCCAACTGCATCACCCCAATCTGGAGCCCCTCTACTTCATGGTTTGGAAGCTCTAGATTAGGGATATAAAATCCCATTTAATTTGTTAACTGATTAAATGTGATGTTTAACTGGTTAACCAATTAAAGGGGGAACAGGTGGGGGGCCGCTACAACCCAACTGGGCTGGAGCAGCCCCCGTGCCTGCAACTCACTTAGGCCCACCACAGACAGGGGCTGCTCTGGACAGCCTGTTCTGCGAAATGGTTGTATGGCGGAAACTAATTTTTGGATTAGAATTAAAAATCTCTGATCCGATAGTTACAGCAATCATAGATACTATTTGCAATAGCATGTTTAAAAGATTCAGACACACAAGAGTGACTTCTAAGTTGTCAGCATTAATTTAAGCCTGGAAGAGCTCGACCACAGTTGCTTTCCATAACTGCTAGACCCGTGGTCACCAACAGGCCGATCGCGATCGACTGGTTTATCGCAAGGCCTTGACCAGTTGATCGCGAGGTGTCCGGCCCCCCCCATTTTCCACCCACCCCCAAGAAGCCCCAGTACTTACCTCCAGTGACAATTAAGGTAGTGCCGACTTCCTGCGGGTGGATGGAAGTCCCGCAGCTTAGCGCCACTTCCGGGAGTTCCGGAAGTGTGCTGGCTGCTTTGCCAGGCGTGCTACGGGAGGGGGTCCTGGCTCCAGAAGAGGAGCATGGTGACTTCCCTGCACTGGCGCAGGAGGCGTGAGTTGTCCCCGGGGCAGGCATGCGCGGGGTTTCTTTGCGCCGCAGGGTGGAGGGGAGGGGTGTTTCGGTCCCAGGGCAGGCGCATGCGGGGGGAAAAGGGGGGGAAGTGTGCTGGCTGCTTTGCCAGGCGTGCTACGGGAGGGGGTCCTGGCTCCAGAAGAGGAGCATGGTGACTTCCCTGCACTGGCGCAGGAGGCGTGAGTTGTCCCCGGGGCAGGCATGCGCGGGGTTTCTTTGCGCCGCAGGGTGGAGGGGAGGGGTGTTTCGGTCCCAGGGCAGGCGCATGCGGGGGGAAAAGGGGGGTGTTTCGGCCCCAGGGCAGGCACATGCGGGGTTTCCCTGCGCCGTGGGGGG